TTTTCAAAGGAATGCTTCCAGTCTTTTCCCATTCAGTATGATATTGGCTGTGGGCTTGTCATAAATAGGTCTCATTATTTTGAGATATGTTCCATCAATACCTAGTTTATTGAGGGTTTTTAGCATGAAAGGCTGTTGAATTTTGTGTAAGGCCTTTTCTTTATCTATTAAGATAATCGTGGTTTTTGTCATTGGTTCTATTTATGCAATGGATTTTATGTTTATTGATTTGCATATGTTGAACAAGCCTTACAACCCAGGGATGAGGCTGACTTGATTGTGGTGGATACGTTTTTGATGTGCTGCTGGATTTGGTTTGCCAGTATTTTACTGAGAATTTTTGCATCAATGTTCATCAGGGAAACTGGCCTAAATTTTTCTTTATTTGTTGTGTCTCTGCCAGGTTTTGGTATCAGGATGATGCTGGTCTCATAAAATGAGTTAGGGAGGATTCCTTCTTTTTCTATTGTTTGGAATGGTTTCAAAAGGAATGGCACCAGTTTCTCTTTGTACCTCTGGTAGAAGTCAGCTGTGAATCCATCTGGTCCCGGATTTTTTTTAGTTGGTAGGCTATCAATTACTCCAACCCAGATACTATGCTTCTCCTACAGTCTTCACAATCTGCAGATCAGGAGATTTCCTCTGGTGCCTACACCACTAGGGCCCTGGGTTTCAAGTACGTACAAAACTGGGCAGCTGTTTGGACAGAAATTGAGCTAGCCACAAGAGCTTTTTTCCATATCCCAGTGGCACCTGGAACACCAGCAAGAAAGAACCGTTCACTTTCCTAGAAAGGGGGCTGAAGCCAGGGAGCCAAGTAGTCTGGCTTGGCAGGTGCCACCCACATGGAGACCAGAAAGCTAAGATCCACTGGCTTGAAATTCTCACTGCTAGCACAACCTGGGATGCTCGAACTTGGGGGGGTAGGGATGGGATGTGGGGCAGGGGGATGGGCGTCAGCCATTGCTGAGACTTGAATAGGCAGTTTAACCCTCACAGTGTAAACAAAGCCTCGGCAGAGTTCAAACTGGGTGGAGCACACTGCTTCTCCTCTCTGGGCAGGGTATCTCTGAAAGAAAAAAAAAAAAGGCAGCAACCCCATTCAGGGACCTATCGATACAACCCCATTTCCCTGGGACAGAGCACCCGGGGGGAGTGGCGGTTGTTGGCACAGCTTCAGCAGACTTAAACGTCTTTGCCTAACAGCTCTGAAGAGAGCAGTGGACAGCATTCGAGCTCTGATAAGAGACAGGCTGCCTCCTGAAGTGAGCCCCTGACCCTCATGTATCCAGACTGGGAAATACCTCCCAGTGGGGGCCGACAGACACCTCATACAGGAGAGCTCTGGCTGGTATCTGGCAGGTGCCTTGCTGAGAAGAAGCTTCCAGAGGAAGAATCAGGCAGCAATCTTTGCTGTTCTGTAGCCACTGCTGGAGATACCCAGGAAAACAGGGTCTGGAGTAGACCTACAGCAAACTGCAGCAGATCTGGAGCAGAGGGGCCTGACTGTTAGAAGAAAAACTAACAAACAGATAGGAATAGTATTAACATCAACAGAAAAGGCATCCTCTCAGAGACTCCACCTGAAGGTCATCAACTTCAAAGACCAAAGGTAAATAAATCCACAAAGATGGGAAGAAATCAGCATAAAAAGGCTGAAAATTTCAAAAACCAGAACACCTCTTCCCCTCCAAAGGATCACAACTCCTCACCAGCAAGGGAACAAAACTGGACAGAGAATGAGTTTGACGAATTGACAGAAGTAGGCTTCAGAAGGTGGGTAATAATAAACTCCTCTGAGCTAAAGGAGCAATAATATGTTGTTTAAAGGAATCCTCTTTAAATATAAAAACATGGAAAGATTAAAAGTAAGGAGATGAAGAAAACTATACTATGCTAACTTTATCAGAAAAAAGCTGAAGTAGCAATATTAATTTCAGACAAAACGTATCATAGCAAACAAAATTATCAGGAATAGATGGGGCATTATATAATGATAATAGTGTTAATTCTCTAAAAAGACATAAAAATCCCTAATGAGTATTTGTGTAATAACACAGAGTAACAATATGTGAGACAAAAATGACAGAACTGTAAGGAGAAATAAAAGAATACAGTATTATAGATGGAGACTTCAATAACCTGTATCAGTAACTAAGAAATCCAGAAAGCAGAATATCAGGACACAGTTGACCTGAAGGGCACCATCAATCCATCAATCAACTGTATCCAACAGACATGTAAAGAAGATTTCATCCAAAGAGAGCAGAATATATTTTCTTCTCAAGGCCATAAAAAAAAGCCCACCTCAACATATTTAAAAGAATAAAAATCACACAATGTATGCTCTCAGACCACAACAGAATTCATCTTGAAATCATTAACAGAAACATAGCTGCCAAACCCCAAAATACTCAAGACATTAAACAACATACTAATATATAATACAATGGTCAGAAAAGAAGTCTCAAGAGAAATTCTATAATATTTTGAACTAAATGAAAGTTAAACAACTTATCAAAAATTGTGGTGTGCAGTAAAAGTAGTGCTTAGAGAGAAATTTATAGCACTAAATACATACATAAAAAAGAAGAAAGATTAAATTCAATAGTCGAAGCTTCCATTTGGGAAACTAAAAAATGAAAATTCAATGCAAATAAAACAGAAGATAAGAAATATAGTCATGTGTCACTTAATGATAGAGACACATTCTGAGCAATGTGTTGTTAGGCAATTTTGTTATTGTGCAAACATCATAGTTTGTACTTAAAAAAACCGTAAATGGTATAGCCTACCACACAACTAGACTATTGCTAGGCTAACCTGTACAGTATGTTACTGAATACTGAAGGCAACTGTATAGCTTTGCCCCAAAACAAGCTGAATATATAAGACTCTATTGTTAATATGGACCCTGTGAGACATGAAACCCAACCTCTCCTTTCCCTTTTGGAAGAGAGAGCGCCTTCAGTCCACAACAGAGACTATATCTTTCCAGACTCCAAGTTGATGTCACCAATAAATCTCTTCTTTCTACTATTTAGCCATCCTCGTGGTCATTTGGACTAGACTTCTATGACCACAAATGAAAGAAATCAGAAAGCCATAACAGAAGGAAATCTATAATGTACATAAATCTGTGGAAATTGAACAACATACTCCTAAACAACCAACAGGTCAAAAAAAATTAAAAGGGAAGTTGGAAAATACTTGCAGATGAATGAAAATAAAAATACAACATATAAAAATACAACATACCAAAAAGTATGGGTTATAGTTAAAACAGTACTCAGAAGGAAATATATGAGAATAAACACCTATACTTAACAAGAAGAAAGACTTCAAATCAATTATTTAATGTCACAGCTTAAGAAAATAGAAAAAGAATGAATTAAATCCATAGGTAGCAAAAAGAAGGAAATAATGAAGAGGAGAAAAGATATGAACTAAACAGAGAATAGAAAAAGCAAAAAGAAAATTTTAAAAACTTGGCTTTTGGAAGGAACACAATAAAATTGACAAGCATTCACATAGACAGAGAAAGCAAAGTAGAGACATCACTACCTATCTTTCAGAAATAAAAAGGATAACAAGAGTATAAACATCGTAGGCCAGTAAATTAAGTAACCTAAACGAGATAAACAAATAGCTAGAAACACACAAACTACCAAAACTGACTCAAGACGAAACAGAAAATATGAAAAGGTCTATAACTAAGGAGTTTGAATCGGTAATCAAAAATCTTCCAACAAAGAAAAACCCAGAACCCAAAAGACTCAGTGATGTATTCTATCAGTCAGTCAAAGAATAAATAAATAAAATTCATCTCACTTTCTTCCAAAATAATAGGAGGTAATCCCTCCTAACTCATATCTTACACCAATGCCAGAAAATGATATGATTATAGTCCAATAGCCATTATGAATACAAAAATTCTTAATAAAAATATAACAAACCAATTCCAGTAATATAGTAAAGAATATACCATGACCAAGTAGGGTATGTTCCAGGAAAGCAAAGGTTGTTCAATATATAACAATCAAAATAAGAGTATACTGCATTAATAGAAGGCAGGGTGAAAATAAAAAACACATAATAATCTTATTTCATATAAAAGTAGTATTTAACAAAATACAAAATCCTTTAATTATAAACCCACAGCAAATATCATATTTAACAGGGCAAGACTAAAAGCTTTCCTCCTAAGATCAAGTGCAAGACAAAGATGCCAATATTGCCCCTTCTACTAAACATTGTGCTGGAGGTTAAAGCAAGAACAATTTTGCAAGAAAAATCTGGAAAATTTATCCAGGGTGGAAAGGGCTAAGTAAAAATATTGCTATCCACAGACAACATGATCTTCTACATAAAAACTATTAAATATTTCCCCAAAACAAAACAAAGCCAAAAAACACTATTAGAGCTAATAAAGGAATTCAACCAAGGGTGCAGAATCCATTTTTAAAAATCCAGTGTATTTCTATACACTTTCCATGAACAATGTATAAAGGGAACTAAGAAAATTCCACCTATAATAGCATCAGAAATAACAAAATACTTCAAAATACATTTGCCAAGAGTTACAGGACTATACTTACATATTGAAAACTGAAAAATGCTGTTGAAAGAAATTAAACAAGTTCTAAATAAATGCAAAGCTATCCTGTGTTCCCAGATTAAAAGACTTACTATTGTTAAGGTGGCAATAATATGCAAAGCTATGTTCAGATCCAATGCAATCCCTATCAAAACTCCAATGGTGATTTTCATCACAAATGGGGAAGGAGATGCTAAAAATCATATGGAATTACAATCAATCTCAAATTACCAGAACAATGTTAAAAAGGAAGAACAAAATTTAGGGAACTCTCACTTCTCAATTTCAAAAATGCCACAAAGCTAAAGTAATCAAAATGGTATACTGACACAAGAACAGAAAAACAGAACAATGCAATAGACTTGAGAATCGAGATACGCCCATATATTTATGGTTAACTGACCTTCAACAAGGGTGCTAAGACAATTCAATGTGGAAAAGAATGGTCTCTTCAACAAATGTTCTTGGGCAACTGGATAGCCACATGCAAAATATGAAGTAGAAGACTGAACCCATACCTTATACTATATACACAATTAGCTCAAAAAGAATCTTATTTCTAAATGTAACAGCTAAAACTACAGAAGGGGTAAATCTTCATGACCTCAGATTTGGCAATATATTCTTATAAACATCACCCAAAGTACAAGAAACACAAGGAAAAAATAGGTAAATTGGACTTCATCAAAATTAAAATCAATTGGGCATCAAAGGACATTATTGAGAAAGTGAAAAAACAATCTATAAAATGGAAGAAATATTTGCGTATCACATATTAATAAGAATCCAGTATTAGGAATATATAAAGAACTTTTACAACAACGCCAAAAAGACACACAACCCACTTTTAAATTGAGCAAAGGACTTGAATAAACACTTCTCCAAAGAAGACACACAAACGACCAAAAAGCATGAAAAGATGTTCAACAACATCTGCCTTTGGGGAAATGCAAATCAAGCCCACAATGCTTCATTTCTATTGGATATCATTTCTTTTACGAGTTTCAGCACACTTTCAGGTTCTCTTTCTCTTTCTTTCTTTCTCTGACTTAATTCTTTCTCTCTCTCTCTCTCTCTCTCTCTCTCTCTCTCTCTCTCTCTATTTTTTGTCTCACTCTGTCACTCACGCCAGAGTGCAGTGGCACAATCTCGGCTCACTGCAACCTCCCCCTCCTGGGTTCAAGTGATTCTCCTGACTCAGCCTCCTAAGTAGCTGGGACTACAGGCTCACACCACCATGCCCGGCTATTTTTTACATTTTAATTAGAGGCAAGTTTCACCATGTTGGCCAGGCTGGTCTCAAATTCCTAACCTCAAGTGATCCACCTGCCTCGGCCTCCCAAAGTGCTGAACACAAAGTTAGTCACACTTTCAGGTTTTCTAAGGACTGATCTACCTATTAAACAGACCCGGGAACAAAGACCGCATAAATCCTATAAATGCTAATAATAAGTCCTTGAAGAAATAAAGAAAGATTCTATTTCTGGTAATTAGTCTCAGAGGCTGGAGAAAAACTCTCAATGTATTTCTGGAGAAGAGAAGAGGGAAGGAGGGGGACGCCAGAGAAGGGAAGTAGAGTAGCCAGAAGAGGGGAGGGAAGGTGAGGGCAGAGGAGAAGGAAAGAGGGGAGAAGAGAAGGGAAGAGAGAATGAAAGAGAAGTAAGGGAGATAAAAGACAGAAAATGGGGCTGAACTTCTCTTGTTCTTTTCCCTTAAAGCTTCATGCCTCTCAATTGTGTTTCTAGATGGCCCAAAAAAAAAAAAAAAAAAAAAAAAGTGAGAAGGGAAAGTAGAGAAATGAGTAAATATAATCAAAGTCTGAGAGCAGAAAAATAAAAATAAAAAAACATAACAAAAGGAGGAAGGAAGAAGAAACTAGCAAGCAGTAACATTTCATTTGAGATGAAAATAGGAGGCACTTTGGGGAGGCCGAGGCGGGTGGTTCACGAGGTCAAGAGATCAAGACCATCCTGGTGAACATGGTGAAACCCCGTCTCTACTAAAAATACAAAAAATCAGCTGGGCATGGTGGCGCATGCCTGTAATCCCAGCTACTCAGGAGGCTGAGGCAGGAGAATTGCCTGAACCCAGGAGGCGGAGGTTGTGGTGAGCCGAGATCGCGCCATTGCACGCCAGCCTGGCTAACAAGAGCGAAACTCCGTCTCGAAAAAAAGAAAATAGGAGGGGTGCCCTACTGTCACTGGGACCCCTTAAAAACACATGGATGGGTATTCCTAAGTGCTCCTTCATAAATAAACCATTATAAATATAAGGTCCAATTCTTTATTTTCCAGAAAATATTGGGCCTCTACTCCACATTATTAAGAAAAGCACACTAAGCTGAATGGTTCTTCTTGTCTATATTAACCCATCTTACAATCAGATGATTTTATAAATTAAATCATTGTAAATATTTTGATACTCCTTATAGCAAGTTCCACTCTATAGTAAATTATTTTAACAACGTAAGTTATTGAGAGAGCAAACTTTTCATTAGTACATGAAACAATAGAATTCTATTTGAGGGGTGATAAGCACTAAGTCAAAGTGGAGAACAAAATATATTCAGATGTAAAGTGTTTATACTGTAAAAACGCTGTGAGTAATTGACAACATTTTTAAATTATTAGTTATGTGTTCTCAAGTTGCTTTTCTAAAGAACTGTATGGACTTACCTGAAAATGTAAAGAATAATTCATTTTGCAAACCAGCTTTTTGCATTTTAACATGATGGCATTCAGACTTAAGTAAGGAAATTTCACATGAAAGGTCAAGAACCAGTTTGCTTAAAATCTGAAGAAGTTTCTTCTCAAAAGAAATATTATAAATACTATTGCATGGAGGTGCATGATATCGAGCTGTGAACTGATAATAATAATGAGGCTCACGATAAGCTGTAAAAAAAATAAGAGAAAGACACAAAAATGGTTATTTAAATAATTGAAACATATTGCAACTATTTAAGAAATATCATTATTTGGTATAAGTTCTTGGTACAAGTTTTTATATAACAGTTATATTTATTTTTAGTTCACCAACACTTATCTTGCAGTTACTAAGTATCAAATATTATGATAGATACTTTACATATAGTGACTCATTTAAATCTCTCAACATCATGAAGATTTTCTATCCATCATAAACAAATTGAGGGGAGCAGGGATTTGTCACATGTTCAATGCCTATGCTATCAAAACTAAGATTCTAATTCACGGAGCCTTGTCCCAGAGCCTGTACTCTTAACCTCTACACTACGCTGCTCAAACTCAGGTGTAACACTTCTCTAAGTTCAAACATTTATCTTGGAAGAAATTAAAGTCATATAATCATGAACAATACTCAAAAATATGTGTTTCTAATAAATCCACAATTAGTTTTATTGAGTTGAGTACAACATCTAGAACTGAGAATATATATATATATATTTTGCCTATCCCAAATTCTTACTGAAATGACACAAGAAAAATAAAAATGAAAATAAATTCACTACAATACCAAAGGTCAGAAAAGTTCATCTTCCAAAACAGGAAGTTCTGTTGCTATTTCTTTCAAGCAAGGGAGACCTCCCTGCCTATTCCTCAATTATGCTCAGGAAAAGCTTCATACTTAGCTACTATCCATCTTTGTATTTGAAGTAGAGACCAGACAGCTTCTAATTGCTAAGGAAACCTCTATAGGTTTCATTTCTGAACAGGAATTCTAACATGCTTTTTGTACTGATTCATCCATCAGTGTAGGTATGCATTTATCATGAATATATACATATATCATGATTTATAATATGAAAGGTATATAATATCTACACATATCACATAGAATAACTGAACTACGGGGTCAGAGCTGGAAGCTGGAGTGAGTCACAGTATGATTGGGGATAGAGAAAGAAAATCTTTTCTTTCCAGAAAACTGGCCCATAACAAGGTATTACCTGAAATAGAACTAAGTCTCAATTGAAGCCCAATATCCCCCAAATTCTCTGAAACACTATTTCAAAAGTATATCCTTCTGAGTCCGCAGCAGAAGTACACACAAACCAGCAACAATTCAGGATCAGCTTATGTGCATTAAAGAGTTAATACTGCAAGGTGGAGGCGGCTTGCAGGATTAGCCCTTGCTGGTAAACACTTCCCTAGACAGACAGGAATTTTTTCCTTCATGGATAAAACTGTCTTCTTACCCACCTGATGCACTGAACATCTTTTTGTCTTCTGGGAGTCTGGAATTTGTGTAGTTGCTAGGCAGAGTGCCTACAGAACTGGCCCCTAATAAACACTCTTGATGTGTTACTGCTTTATTCTACTGCTTTTTTTTTTTTCCTCAAAAGCTCTCTGCAAATCCTAAAGTGTCTTCAAGAAGATTCATGGAATAGGCTTAAAGTATAATTAGCACAGTAAATATACTTAGTACACTAAGATCATACAATTAGACTGGGTAAGAATTTGAATAACTCGAATTTTAAAAACTGGACTCAAATTGCTAACCTAACATTAAGCAGAACAAGGATTAATTACGTAGGACTGAACTGATGCAGGACTAAAATGATTTTTATGACTTTTTGTTGAAAACATTGCTGATTTTCTTTTCTTTTGTTTTCCAGAGTAAAGAACATTTTTTTTCTTTCTTTTTTTTTTTTTTTGAGAGTTTCACTCGTTACCCAGGCTGGAGTGCAATGGCGCGATCTCGGCTCACCACAACCTCCGCCTCCTAGGTTCAGGCAATTCTCCTGCCTCAGCCTCCTGAGTAGCTGGGATTACAGGCACGCACCACCACGCCCAGCTAATTTTTTGTGGTTTTAGTAGAGACGGGGTTTCACCACGTTGACCAGGATGGTCTCGATCTCTTGACCTTGTGATCCACCCGCCTCGGCCTCCCAAAGTGCTGGGATTACAGGCGTAAGCCACCGCGCCCGGCCACTTTTTTTTTTTTTCCTTAAAAAAAAAGCTATTTATAGTTTGCAGAAATTGGGTAAAGTATATTTTTGTAAGCAAAATCAAAACATTTACCAGAAAGCTAAATATTCTGGGGACTTCAAGAAAAGAATTAACTCAAGTACTGCAGGTAACATCTGAGGGTGAGTCCATGGCTTTACTTCCTAATCTGGAGAGCATTTTAAAAGTCATTTCCTTATGACAAGTTCCAACAAAGACAAATTTAAAAGAATCTATAATAAGGTCAATCATTATTCCTGCTACAGTTTGTTTACTTATTTATTCATTTATTTATTTGTTTTGAGACGGAGTTTTGCCCTGTCACCCAAGCTGGGGTACAGTGAAGTGATCTTGGTTCACTACGGCCTCTGCCTCCCAGGTTCAAGTGATCCTCCCAGGTTCAAGTGATTCTCCTGCCTCAGCCTCCCAAGTAACTGGGATTACAGGCACACACCACCATGCCCAGCTAATTTTTGTATTTTAAGTTGAGATGGCGTTTCACCAGGTTGGACAGGCTGGTCTCGAACTTCTGAACTCAGGTGATCCACCTGCCTCGGCCTCCCAAAGTGCTGGGATTACAGATGTGAGACGCTGCAACCGGCCTTGCTACAGTTTATCTAACTAATCAAGCCCACTATAATGAGGCTAAAACTTATTTTACAACAGAACTGGACTCGCTGTGATATGTGGTAGAAATGGGTGACCAGAGAGAGAAAAATTATGTTTCAAGAAAAAATTAAAAATTATAATGCACCTGTTATTAGATTCTAGCCCTATCCATTGTTTTTGAGGGTTTTTTTTTTTAATTATCTAGACTGAGTCTTGAATTTTTAGTTTCTTCCAGTATCCAACTATGAGTCTCCACGCTAAAACTTCCCATTTTTCTCCCACTCACTCATTTGACTTGAAATCCCTACACATCAAAACTGATTTTCCTAAAGCCCTGCAAGTTAATGCTAGACAACCTGATATAAACTTTGGAGAAATCATCACAACAACTTATTTACATACAGAAAGTTCAGTGGAATGCCTGAATTAAATGACAATCTGGAAATATCTATCAAATTGCCACTTCCTGCACATTCCAACTGAAAATGCTTTGAGCTGAAATCTAAAATATTCTCAGCTGACTGCCCTCCAAACTCAGAGATCAGTTTGCAGAATGCTCCAGGTATTAACTTTTGCTTTTCTGTTTTCCATAAAAAATGCCTCCAACTAAATACCAGTGTGCTCATACCATATAGGGACTCAATTTTGACAAAAAAAATCAGCTATTAACACTACTTTCTGACATCAGACTCACCTGTTCAACTAAGCTGATTATTCTCAGGGCTAAGAGACTCATTCAATAAGATAGGGAACCCAAATTTGTTCCTTTCTACTTGTTTCAATCTATTTCTCCCCACTTTGCCAATTTCTTTACCTTAGAACCTCTCACCTAAATCTCCCCAAACCTACCAACGTGGATTTTAATACGTACAATTTTCTAAAAGTAAAGCTTTAAAAGGCGGACTAAAAAAAAAAAAAAAAAAATCCTCCCCCAAACATTGAGGATTATGAGGTTAAAGACTCTGAAAATGGAGGGTAACATGCTGCCTTAGCATCTTTTTGCCCGATGACAGAACACCAGTCCTTCCTTACTGGAGACAGCACTTGCTAATCTGTGCAGAGAAAGCACCAGCAGGCACCAAAGGAATCTGGGAACAGATTTTACTATCCTTCCACATTTTCTAAACTTTTAGAAGACTGGAACTGCTCTCTCCTTTGTTCTGTCACTATATTGGATTTACGGATCTTTGTTAAAATATTACGTAAGACAACCCCTAAGCCACCAACAGGAGATACTTTTGAATTAAGGCCTCTCCAGCATGATGGGCACAGGACACACATAAACTTCTGCCACTTTCTCCCTTGTTAACTTGGCTTCTGTTTTCAGCAGTGTCTCAACTAAGAAGTTATGAGAGTAAAAAAAAAGAAACTATGTTTCTCGCCTTCAATTATCAGTACAGATCAGTGCCATTGCCTTGCTTTCTACTAGTAGGTGGCAGTAATTTGCCCACCATAAGTGCAAGTATCAACACAGTAGAAATAGCAAATAATATCTCAGTACAATTACTAAATTAGTTTTCACCTTACTGATCCCTTGAAAGTGTCAGGGACTCCCAGAGTTTCACAGAACATGATTTGAGAAGCACTCTATATTCAAAGTAGCATTAAAAATTGACAAGAGCACAAAAACAGGAAAACAGGCAAAATATATAAACAGAGAATCTTGTATGGAACAATAAACATACATAAATAGATGCTCAAATATAATAGTATTAAGGAAAATGCAAATTATAAGTGATACAGCTTTTTACACCCACGTTACAGATAAAACAGCAATAAAACCTATTTTGTTGGTGGTAAAGATACACAGAAGTATATGTACATTATTAAAATTTATAATAAAATTAAAAAGTGTAAATTCTCAAAATGTTAAAGGAATAAATTAAGAACAGGAAATTATAAAACAAAAATAGGTGGATATGATCAAAAACAAGTGAAGATTGTAAAAATGTAAGATCTAACATGTTGGAGAATGAAAATATAGTCATTGAAATAGAAAAAAAATCACTGAAGTAAAAAATAAATAAATTAAGTGAAATAGATAGGCTAAATGGCAGACATACATGCCTGAAGAAACATTTGGTAATTGCATGAGAGTACCTAAAATACATGACATTTAAAGATTTTGGTATATGAAAGACAAGCTAAAAGTCATGAATATAAGTTAAGAAATCCTAATAAATATATTGAATTAGCTTTCCAGAAATAAAAATAGTCAAGAGGAGGATGAAAGAAGTCAACAAAATCCGAAAGTTCAATATTACAACATGTAAACCACATTCTCTGACACACACAAAAATCAAATAAAAATCAACAACAAACATTTTCAAAAAAATAAAATACTACTAAATAACAAA